GCTTCATAGCTAAATGCCGTTGTTCAGCAATGTGTATAGCTGGAGGCATCGAGTGAGTGTTTCAGTGACAGTGCTTCATCCAGTCAGTGCAGTCATAAGCGATCATCAGCTTATTCTGTGCCTAACTGTCAAAGCGATTGTGAAAATCTTCGTTCTTTAACGATAACTTCGTGGTTTTTGTGTTTCTTATCGGTTTGCTGCGTATTTCGTTTGCAAAAAACGCTAGGGATTTGTGTAAGAAAGTGTACACGCAAAGCAGTCTCTCGTAAGAACGATGAAGACCATCGAATTAATGTTCAGCATAAAAACATGCTCAGTTTTCAAGTTTATAATTGTAACTGATAAAATGCTACTGCGTTTCGCGACTCGTCATTGTTTGCCGTAGAAACTCCATCATCTCGAACCACTTTCATCTGTTGGCGTGCCTAAAGCGGATTCTTTATAGAGTTAGATTCTCGGAAAAGAATCGGAACGATGAACGAGTTCTACTTCAGTACCATCAGCGTCATCCCATGATAGCAGCGTAGATAGTTTGTTCCCGTGGTTCATGCCGTTTTTCCGGATTGTGTGTAGTCTTGATGTCAACAACCCTCACTTCAGTTTACACTGTTCAGTCATTAGTCCGTTGCCTATTGATTCTGTCTGTTTTTTTGGGAGATGAGTAATGTTTGTAATAATCCTTTTTCCAAACGGTTATTTTCAAGGCATGGTCAGCGCGTCAGATCGTAAGAGGGGGCTTCGAGCTCCGGAGAGGCGAGGTTCGATTTCAGCGGAGGGCAGTCTTTGTCTTAACTGCGAATTTCTTTGAGCAAGCAATTTAGCGCGTTGTTTTTGACCGAGGTTGCGCAGTAGGAAGAGCATCGGACGCGAAACCGAGAGATGCCGAGTTCGAGCCCCTGTATGGGTAACTCGCCTTTCTTCCTTCTGAGCTTGATAAACGAGTACCACTCTGCGAGGAGAAAACAGGACACTACACGCTGTTTGTCACGAGGCTGCTGTCGAATCTGCTTTTATAATACGGCGCTCCTGACTGATGATATGGAAATGGAGATCAGAGCTCATCCACTGACCTCATGACAAGAACGGCGCCAGAATGGCTAATAATGAAAGTATAATATAAAATACTGACGTTACAACGGTTACAAACTTTCCTTTCCGTCCTTCCAACATGAAGTTCATTTTCCCATGTTCTGGAGCATTTTGAATGCCGAATGGTTGCCGGCCCAATCGACGACTTTTTTATCTAGCCTGTCAATTAGTGTCCAATTATGCAATTACATTGCCTTAACATTGTTGAGCGACAGTTTGAGATTCCGGTTTCACAATCGTTATGGAACATAATAATGGACAGTAGAAAAGCAACAGGATGTATTTTAATGAAAATATGTTTCGAGTATCCTAGGCATTTCCTGCCAGTCGTTACTTGTAACTGTGATTGCGCATGATGGTAGAATTTCGTCTCTTTTTACTGCAGTCATCGCATGCGGGGTTCATTAAAGTGAAGTAAAAGTGAGGAATTGGTACTTCATTCTTAACGCGTTTCAAATTAAGCACCTCCGTGAAAGTTCTTCGACCAACTAATGGCCAACGCACGCTGTCAGTTGTATTTTTCCTCGTGCGGGGGCGGCGTATTTACTCAGCGAGACGAGCTAATTACCTGCAAACTATCATTTGTACTCAAAAGGAGCGAATTGTACTGTGTCGCATCGGTCGGTCGTTGCCGGTTTGTCGATTGTCAGCCGTCATTCGCATTCCGTGTTTAGCCTCAGCGGCAGGCCAACATGCCAACAAATTATGACGATGTGGCATCGTTCTTGTTGCATTCGACCGTAATTACCACGTGATGCTTGCGTGCCTGGCCGACGTACCCGTAATTTACAGCAGATATTCGAAAGACTGACATAAAGTGTAGTACGAGAGGTCTGCCGCGTATTTTCCGAAATATGCTTGTCCCCTCTGTTAACCAACTGATGAGGCATCTTTCAATGAATAGCTGAATGGACATTTTTTGGGGCCTCCGGACAGGGGAGGGGCCTAAGTGGTTCCTTGTTTCTTTTTGATCGCGAGTTGCACCGTATCATGTCACTGAAGAGTTAATGCATGCTATCAGTGCTATCAGTTAAGATAGTTCGTCCGAGTTTCAGGTTTAAGTTGATAGTTTTCTTTACGACCTCGTGCACGCATCGTTGAGCTCAGGTCGGTCTGTCGAGCCATATCTAATCGCGATCTTCTGAAAATCTGATATATTTTCATAACGCTAGAAAAATTCCAGTTACAGTTCGCGTTGATATCTTGCAGCCTCGTCATTGAACTCCTGCTCTTTGTCTCTTAGTGAGGGTATACTCCAGTTTACGACTGTAAGTTCCTACTTGCCGTGTCGTTCCCCTGAATCTTTTTCTGATATGCTATAATATCTAGGCGCCGACTACTTCCTTCATTCAAAGCGGGATAACGACTCCGTTGTTGGTTGCTATCTTAGCTGTCGTTTCGTCAGTCTTTGGTAGCCGTTTTCATGCTGCTACACCTCCGGCTGCCAAAAGGCGGTGAGCAGATTCTAATGACCGACTTTTCGCAGCCTGCCTAAGTCCCCCAACAGCGTACGCGGCCCTTGGTAACCCAAGCGACGACCGAGACGTTATAATCTTCGATGACGTCAATATCGAGGGGCAGGTGGTTCAGTTTTACAGACAGTTCGCCACGGTCTCCAGTGCTGGTCCTTTCTGATCTTGGCTTGGAACTGGCAACGGGGTAGTAATGCGGTGGTTACAGTGGCTCTGTGGTTTTTTTGAAGACTCTGGCGTCTACATAAATGACATAAGTAATACATGCTACTTTCTTGCCTCCGTTGAATTGGGAAAGTTACATGCGTAAGATTAGTGTGGGCAATTGCAATAAATCCGGCTGATGCGTTATGTTAACTGCCTATCATTTTACTAATTCTTCTAAACGAAAAGAACTCTGGAACGCTTGCACGAAAGATGGAGATGGCAAAGTTCGTTTTTGCATCTGTTCTTCTTTTCGTCTGTGGGGGCTGTTGAGTTAAGACCGAGTCGAACCTCTCTGGGGGGTAGGGCTGTTCAGAAGCGCTCATAAATTTTCCACAAAGCTATGCTGCCGAAGAATCGTTTCGAATGGACATTGGTAGAAGTGCCACGTTGACAATGAGTTTTTGATTCGCGACGGGAAGTAACGGTGATTCTCGTAGCTTTCATGTATGAAGTATTAAAACAGTAAGTTGATATTTCAAAATCAACTATAATTCAGTGTACAACTAACTGAAACCGGAATCAGCTGCCAATTTCACTGGGATGTTGTCGATGATTGATGTGTTCTGTTTTCTTGTGGCCTGTGATGAACTCCTCGTTCGTTCCGCGTTTTTTGTCATTTCCTGTATATTCATCGTTCATCGTATTTCCGGTTCTGCATTCATCCACTCTGGAGTGACGTTCATCATAAACTAAGTTGTTGATAAGGGGCTAGGTACCTATGTTCCACGTATCGGGATGCAACGCGTGACACTGTAGTTCGGAATATGTATTTGCTGCTTGCGGTTTAATGAAGATGAAGAAGCGGTTTAGTCGATTAACGGCTTGGTCTAGCATATCAGTCTGTGCTGGCTGTTCTTGACTGGTGAGGGAGGGGGGATGGGAGAGGACATGTTTAGAGAATGTAACGGAAAACTTGAGTTTTCTGTTTGAAAGAAATTACCGGGCTTCATTTTTCCATAACCAAGAATTGACCAAAACCTGGAAAGTAGAATCTCAAATTGCTTACTGCAGAAGAAAATGAGAACTCATTTCATTATATATACCGATAGAGACACATCTGTGTACATGCGCGCGCACACACTAATAGAATTATTTAGCAACAGCTGGGATAATGGATATTCGACGGAGCTCGTTTTGACAGAAATAGTAATATTTTCGGATATGGTGGATGTGCTGCGCTATAGGCATTGTAGCAAGATATCATGCAGTGGTTTGCTTCTGTTGCTAGTTGTCTTGTTGATCATACGAATACGGTGTGCGAAGTCATTTAGAGGGAAATTATTAGATCTTGAGTAAAAATTAAGTGATTTTCGTATACGCTCAAGTTTCTGGTTAATAGAACAGGAGAGATTATAGCTGTCCCGGTAGGCGAAAAGGTCAGGAAGACTGTAGAAGCGAAATATGTCATTGTTTCCTTGGGTGCATGCAGATTATTGACTCTTTTCGCCTAGAATGATATTCCACAACACCGATTAATTTCTGACGATGTCCGGTGAAGCCTACCAAACGTATTTAATGCGCTGTACCTAGATTAATGGTTAGTCATGAATGCCCAGGGTGCGTGTGTCGAAGAATTAATAAGTGCATGATTACTGGTGTTGCGCATCACTGATATTCTTTCGTTATTCATCTTAAGACGATGTTGCCAGGATAATCAAATGGAAACGTTGTGAACCATAATGCGTATTAATTGACAATGCTAGTTGGATATTCGCACCATGCAACATATTTACTGGATACAAGATTATATCCAGAAAATGTAGACGGAAGGGGACATTAAATGACTTGATTGTGTCCTTCGTGCCTTCAGTATTACGAATTAGAGGAAGGGTTTACTGTCATTGTTAAGAGACGAAGTCGATCGAGTTTTTGGTGCCCGTCGGTCGGTGACAGCTTGACGATTTCATTTCGAACAGCGACTGCATGAGTGAGGGAGGTCGTTGTTAATTGAATCGTTCTTGCGTTCACCATACTCTTCCGGCAACGGAGCGATGACACTTGTTCGGGTCGGTGTTGTACAGCGGCAACAGTTGCGACCGCCTGTACCCGACCGAATTCGTGTCTTCGCTAATCCTTGAACATCGGCGTCGTGTTTTTGATGACCACCGTTTCCTGTTTCCCACTGTTGACATCTACGCAGTCAGGCGTATCGACGAGTCGTCACCAGATGCAACGTGACGCGACGGTTTACTGTCATTGTGCATTTGTGACGGCGCCGACCATACGACGGCTATGTGTCTGTCGGTCAGTGTCCGCCATGCAGCGACCAATGAACACCTGAAGCACGAAGTGGTAAGTGGGCGAGTGCAGCAGACGAAGCGCGGTTCCAGTGATGGCCGTTGTCTCATTTGCACGGTATTCGGTATGTCACCGCTTTAACGCGGTGTTACGTTAAGGCGACGTGATCGCGGCGACAGTTGTGACACCGGCGGCCAACAGCACTCCGACAACATCTCTTTGCACTCTGACATGTTTCGGAGACGGCACGTTGGACTTATCTCGTGGCGACAGCCGGCTTGGCGACGAATTCCAGTTTGACAGCGGATACTGAACGAAATTAGCCAGTGTGAGAGTTAGCAGCGGCGGAGCGAGTTAGTGAGTCGAAAGTTGAGAGTGAAGTTGAGAGCGTCGTAGAAGTGAAGTCGAAGTGAGAGGTCGAACCGAATCGTGCGGTCCGCAGGCCGGTGTAGAAAAACGAGCGACGGCGAATGCAGCTGAGAACATAATTATTCGATTATTGTTTATTGTGTAGTCGGTCGTCGAACAGCCTGCGAAAGTCGGTCAGGCGTGAATGTACGCCGTTCGACGGCCACTACGACGACTGTGACGACAGTGACGACGATGCGCGCCAACTCACAACCAGACGACACACAGCGGTGATGGTGGCTACCAGGGATCGACTCCATCCGGT